AAAAAAATCATTCCACATTCAAAGTTCATACCACAGGAATCAGAAGTCCAAGAAAGAAAAAATACACAACTAGGAATCAAAAGATATAGCCCAGGTCCTGACAAATTGTGTAGCCTTGGGCAAGTCACAGCATTCCTTTCATCCAAAGATGGTTCTTCTGTAAACTGGTGACAATTACTTACTGGCAAAATTGTCTGCAATGATTAAACAAGTAATGTAAAATCACTTCAGAAAGTTTTACATAATACACCACTGCAACGTAACAGGAAACAAAAATAATTCCTCTGAATGGAGTATAAATCCAGTGGTTCAGTTTCCAAAGTTTAAGCCTGACTCACCTTTCCAGCCTTCTTAAACCTCTCCACCAACCTGTGGTCACTTGAATGGGAGGAGAGTCACGCGTGAGGCTCCAGGAGTGGCGCGGTGACTATTCAGTTTGTTGTTCCACATCTCAGGGGCTTCATCCATAAAATGAGTGGTGTGGAATTCACAAGATAATGCAGTCTGAAAGAAGGGAGCAGAGAATTTGCCAAAAGTAAATAAAATGTTTACATGACCCCACTCCCTAGGGATAAATAACCAAGGTCATCAAACAATATTACTCTCTAAATAGAATTAGGAGCTGGGTGTGGTGGCACACGCCTGTAATCCCAGGCCTGTAATCCCAGCACTCAGGAGGCTGAGAGGCAGGAGGCTCCTTTGGAGTTCAAGATCAGCCTGGGTTACAAAGTGAGCTCAAGGCCAGCCTGAACTGCATAGGGACACCCTGTCTCAAAAAGACAAAAACAAACAGAATTAGGGAAGGGCTTAAAGATCAGGTTATTTTTTGTTTTACAGATGGGAAAACTGAGGCCCAGATAGGTAAATTACAGATGTCTCACAGCTAGTCTTAGAGCTGGGATTAGGGAATAGGATTCCAAAGTCTAGAGCCTTCTTTGCCCAATTATCCAGGGCACTTGTGACCTGTACAACACATTTCAACGCCAAAAAATATCACTACACAAATTAACCAGCAGCAAAACGTGGACCACTGCAGGAGGGAAATAGGATTCTGAGGTAAGAAAAGAGGCTGAAAGCCGGGAAGCTGGGAAAGGGAAGACTTCACTACAGACTGTACTAAGGCCTAGAGATACTCAGGTAAGAAGAAATCACGGAAATAATGGGCAGAAAACAATTAAAATAGAAAGACCTGATGGGTAAAATTTTCTTTAAGGAAGGTAAAAAAGTAACGGATTTAGAGAACCAGAACGCTTGATTTAAGGGTACCTACCAATAATATGCAACGGAGTCCTCCTGCCTCCTGACTTTTTAGTATTTACTAATATTTTTAAATCCCTATTTTGTTGTCTTCCATATGACAAGGGCCTCTGCAGAGACTACATCTACCTCAGTTGTTAAGTATGCAGTCTCTGGATTCAGAATGCCTACATTCAAGTCCTTACTTTACCCTTTTACGTAATCTAAGACAAATTCCTTCACTTGAAGGAATTTGGCGTGGTGGCACACGTCTATAATACCAGCACTCTGGAAGCCAAGGCAGGAGTATTGCCACAAGTTCAAGGCCAGCCTGGGCTAAAAGTGGGTTCAAAACTAGCCTGAACTACACAGGGAGACCCTGATTCAAAAAAACAAAATTCCTTCACCTGTCTGTACTTACATAAAAATGAAAATATCACTACTCATTTCAGGAGATTGTGAGGATTAAATGTACACAGTTATCACAACCTACTAATGGGTTTTTTAATCACATTAGCTAAAATGGCCTCCTTTTTCTTACTTTGTAGTCCAGGCTGGTCTCCAACATGCAACAATCCGCCTGCCTCCGCCTCTCTACTGCTGGGATTACAGGCATGTACCACCTCGCCCCGGCTCATAGAATAAGATTAAGAACAGTCCTACCCTAAGCACTCAGTGCTATTACTGCCATCCTTGCTGTTATGTAATTCTCTCTTAAAACCGTTTGTAGAGTTTTATAAAATAATTGAAAGCACTTTGGAAAAAAAAAAAGAAAGCACTTTGGGAAATTTGATACATATTATGAATGCAAATTAAAAGCAAAAAGCCCCTCTCTCCATCTCTGATACTACCCACACAAGCAGAGTGATGTTAAGGTAAGTATCTGTCACCACCCCCACTAGTTATGTGTTACACTGAAGAGTCCACACAGACTACCATTCATCTAACACTCTGTCATACTGTGTCAATATTTACAGAGAAATGGAGCTTCGCCAAAGAAAAATTATTTTTCCCTAGTTAAGGCATTGGGATGGGGAAGACAGAAATCAAGCAAATGAATAGCTGAAGGAAGCAATGAGTCATATAGAGAACTGTTCACTGCGCCAAGTCAGGTAGATTCAAATGCGCCACAGACAAGGACAGAATGACAGATACCTGAGCCTTTGGGGTTGAATCACTTCCGCCTCCTGTCCTCAAGCAGGCACCCCATAAAATAACATTTCAGCTCATGCACGTATCCTACGCATCAGGAAAAAAAATGGAAGTTCCCAAGATACAAAGGGGGCTGACTAAACAACAAAGGGCTCATCTAACCCTGAAAGCCAGCATTTAAATTCTAAAATCCTAAATTACAGAATAGTCTGAAAAACATGCTCACCAGCAAGGAAATCAGAAGATCTGGATTCCACTCCCAACACTGTGACCTTGAATTGGTCACCTCATCTCTCTAGATTTAAGTGTCCTCCTCTGTTAAAGAAAAATTATTAAAATAATTTTTAAAAACTAAAATTTTTTTCATTTAAAAAAATTTTTAAAAAATCAGATATGGCAATACCTCCTCTGAGAATCGTGGCAAAAATTAAAGATACTACACAGTGTAACCTAGCAGAGGATCTGTCTCTTCTAGACTACAAAAGCGAGCGCGAGCTATGGTAAACCGCAGGGCACTGGCCAGCAGGCCTGTGACAAAGCCTTAGGTCTCCTAGCTTCTTATTAGCAAACTTCTTTTGCGAGACTCTATAAAACCGTATCTTGCTATCTCCAGAGTAACAGCTCAGACCCGAAGTCTAGGAAAGCAATTATCTCCCATCTCATTCCTTAAACTAAACGCTTTGGTACTGCGGGGGGACGGGGGGGGGGCTAAAGTTTTCCCTTAGTACTGTCCCCCACTATCCATTAATAAATTTAAACAGACCCAGAGGGTCAATACTGCGCCTGCAGTTTACACGTATTCACACTTCCATTACAAATTAAGAGCAGCAGGAAAGAAGCATTAAGCTTCCCGGGGCAAGCTTCGGTCCAGGCTGCGGGGTTTCATCCCGGAGGGACCAAGAAACACGCGCGCGGGAAGAGGCAAGAAGGGGCGCGTTCTAGAGCTTTCGGGTCGACCCCGATTTCTCGCTGGCGACGTATCCAGGCCACGTGTCGCCATTTTGTGTTCAATAAACATGGCGGCCGCCCCCGCGGGCAAAGCAGCGGGGCCGGCGGAGCGCGCCACGTGGGCCGCTCTCTGTGGGGTTCTAGCGCCCCTTGCTCGCCCGGCCTTCTCCGGTCTGGTCTGGGCCAAGGAGAACAAGGAGGGGGTAAAATCCAGACCTCCTCGCCAGCGTCTCGAGCGGCTTTTCCCCGCGGCAGGAAAGGCCGTCCAAGATGGCGGGCCGCCCCCGGAGCGCGCGCGTGCGGCGGCTGCGCCAAGGGCGAGCAGGCCCGAAAGGCGGCTGCGGGAGCGAGGGGACCGCGCGGGGAGAAGCCGCAGTAACCCCTAAACACCCTGCCCGGCTGCCCCTGGGTAAACCAAGTCTCCACAGAAACACTACTCGTTGAAGGGTCCGACAAGACTGCGGAGGCTGAAATAACACTGAGGGAAGGAGGTGGGGTTTCCGCAGCTTTCACCGAGAAGAACCCCTCAAAATGCAAACAAAGCATTATGTAAATGGACGCCATTCTTTTTATGGCGGTGTTTGCAGCACTCGGAAAGAGCAGAGCCGAGACTCCGGCGGTGGCGGGGTCGGGGTGGGATTCGGTCTTTGCGCGCAC